CCCCCATGGACGTCTGCCAAGTCCGCGAAGCCCGCGTCAGGTGCTACAGGCTTCCACAAGCTCAATGAAACCCAATCTAGCTACTGCAACCCGATCACAACTCCATACGGGCACTACCGACCGCCGTGAGCTCTAAGAACATCACGAAAGCGCAGAGCTGACGCCTGGATGTCGGGGAAACGGTCCAGACATCTTCAGACGCGTCCTAAGTCTTGCAGAGCCTTCCAAGTGCCGCATCTTGATGCTATCTCAATACTCCCTCTCATTTGAAGGCTCTGCAGCCTCTAAGTGCATCGCAACTCTCAGACGTGTGAAGTCTGGCATGGGGAGGGGCTTGGTGAGCGCATCAGCTATCATCTCCTTTGTTGGGCAGTACTGGAGGGTAACTGTCTTGTGGGCAACCTGTTCACGAATGAAGTGGTATCGGATGTCGATGTGCTTGGTTCGTGCATGGTGAACTGGGTTTGTGGCGAGTGCCATAGCTCCTTGGTTGTCTTCCCAGATGACTGTGGGGCCTTGGACGAGTCCTGCCTTGTCGTGGTGCGTGCTCAGTTCTCTGAGTAGAGATCTGAGCCACATGGCTTCTTTACAGGCGTCTGTAAGTGCCATGTATTCGCCTTCGGTGGAGGAGAGTGCTGTAGTGCGTTGTCCTCGTGATTTCCACCTTACTGGACCGCCGAAGATGAAGAGGTATCCTGTGGTCGATCTTCGAGTGTCTGGGCAGCCTCCCCAGTCTGAGTCTGACCATCCCACGAGTTTGGGGGTTCCTTGGACGGCTCCCAGTCGAAGTTGGTAGTGTTTGGTCGTCTTGAGATACGCCAGAATGCGTTGGGCAGCTTTCTAATGTCCTTTGCCTGGATTGGCTAAGAACTGACTCACAGCTCCAACTGCTTGGGCTATGTCTGGTCTTGTGCCGATCATTGCGTAGGTCAGACTGCCTACAATGGCTCGATAGGGCTTGTTCTGCATATCTGCAGTGTCTTCAGGCGTTTGAGGTGCCATTTCCTTCGTGAGAGAGCTTCCCACGACGCTGGGAGTTGATACAGGCTTGCAATCGGTCATCCCATATGTTTCAAGGCATTCTTCGATGTACCCAGTTATTGAGCGTCAGGAGTCGTTTGGCTCGGTCTCGAGTGACTAGGAGACCCAGGAAGTAGTGCAGGGCACCTAGATCACGCATTTCGTACGCCTTCTGAAGTTCCTTGGCCTTGAAGCCGTCAGGATCGAGTCTCTTGTTGCTCATAAGTATGAGATCGTCCACATAGAGGATCAGGATGAGTAGCGAGCCCTCAAGGAACCTGATATAGACGCAATGGTCTGAATCAAGACGAGTGCAGCCTTTCTCAACGAGAGTGCCGTGGATTTCGATGTTCCATTCCCTAGGGGCTTGTTTAAGACCATAGAGTGTCTTCTTGAGTTGAAGCACGAGATGCTCTTCTCCTGGCATGATGTAGCCCGGTGGCTGCTTCATATAGATCTCCTCACTGAGTGTCGGGTTCAGGAACGCAGTGGACACGTCCATTTGGTCCATTTTGAGGTCCTGAGCTGCTCCCCACGACAGGAGTAGCCAAATGGTGTCAAACTTGGCCACGGGTGCGAACGTTTCATTGTAGTCAACTCCCTCTTCTTGTGAGAAGCCTTGGGCGACTAGTCTGGCCTTGTAGCGTTCGATACTGCCAGCAGCATTCGTCTCGACCTTGTAAATCCACTTGCAGCCGATAAGGTTGCGATCTTTGGGTGCTCGACAGAGCTCCCAGGTGCCGTTCTTGACGAGGGATGCGTATTCAGCATCCATGGCTTCCTTCCACTTGGCTGAGTCGTTCAACTTTAAAGCTTGCTTGAGGGTTTTGGGCTCTGTGCGCAGTACTTCGGTACCAGGGCATAGGCAAGGTTGCTTTGGCGTACTCGAGTGCTCTGGGAGCGTATGATGCGTCCGTAATGCACCAAATCGTCATCTTCCTGGTCTTCCTGGTCGTCTAGGTCCTCTGGGGCCTCTGCCCATTGATCAGTGTCAGGTTGTGAGTTGGGAGATGCGTCAAGGAGCTCAGAATCCCCTCCTGCAGCGTGCGGGCGTAATTCGGTAGTGTCTGTGGGCTTGGGTGCGGGTGAAACGATGTTGTCAGGCTCAGGATCGAATTCAAAGCTAGCTAAGCTGTCATAGGAGCGATCTGAGGCACTTCTTGGCTTTGTTGTCCAGTTTTCCTCGGTTTTTCATGAGTACCATAGCATAGGCTATGCATCCAAACACTCTGAGATGAAGGAGGAAGGGTTTGCGACCGAAGAAGGCTTCGTATGGCGTCTTGGGGTTGTCTTGGGCAACCATAGGCAGCGATTTCTAATGTGGACAGCTGCAAGCAGCGCTTCTCCCCAGTACTTGTGTCCAAGACCAGCCTGGGTGAGTAGGCAGCGTGCCATTTCGACTAGAGTTCGATTCATATGTTCCGCTACTCCGTTCTGCTGTGGGGTGGCGGTAGCAGCGCACTGGTGTTGGATTCCAGCCTTTCTGAGTGCGACGGCGAATTGGATGGATTCATATTCGCCTCCTTTGTCCGATCTGAGGACTTTAATTGATTTCCCAGTCTGTTTCTCCATAAGGGCCTTGTATTCCTCCCAGGTATCAAAGGTATCGCTTTTCTTGCGTAGGAGCTTGACCCAGACGATTCTGGACTTGTCATCAATCCATGATGCGAAGTAGGTACATCCCCCAAAGGTAGACGTCCTCATGGGGCCACAGAGGTCAGTGTGGACGAGTGCCAGGACTTCTGTGGCTCGGGTCGCTTGCTTCTTCGGGAAGGGAGCTCTGGACTGCTTGGAGAGCGTGCAGACTTCGCAGATGTGGCCATCAGGGTGTCCGGTGACCCTGATGTCGCGTTGGTAGCGCTTCTGGACGTCTTGGGCATTCAGATGACCGAGTCTCTGATGCCAGATATGAAAGGGTGTGCTACAAAGTGCTCTCGCTGAGTAGGCGTGTTCACGGGTAGCCTGGGCTGTCATGGTGTACAGGCCGTTGTCCTTGAGAGCTCTGAAGGCGAGAGCGCCGTCCCTGGTCTTGATTGTGCATTCTGCACTCGAAACCTTGACTTGTGCTCCGTTCTCAGTCAGCTGGGCTACTGAGATGAGGTTCTTTTCCAGTTTGGGAACAAACCAGACGTTTCGAAGGGTGCCAGCATGCTCCCATTGTGTTCTGATCGAGATGGAGCCTGTTCTGATGGCTAGAGCTGACCGGTTGTCAGCTAGCTGAACCTGGATCTCGGTTTCCAGCGTCTTGTAGTCCTCGAGCCATTCCCTGACGTGTGTCATGTGTGAGGAGGCTCCTGAGTCGATAATCCAGCACCCTTGGCTGATTTTCGTGCGTTTCATAGCTGCCATGAAGGGAAACCCGGTTCCCTGGCTGGCCTGGTGTTCGGCTTGATTCGCATTGTTGGCTTGAGCTAGCTCTCGTCTGAGCTTCTTGCACTCTTTCTTCCAATGCTCTTCAATACCACAGTGATGGCACTTTCCCTTCTTCCTGGCGAACCTGGCTGAACCCCCAGCCTCCTGCTGCTGTCCTCCGTCCCCAACGAAGGCGTTTCCAGTCGATCTGACTGGTTTCGAGTTCTCCTTGCGCCTAGCTTCTTCGTTCAGAAGTCTGGCCATCAAAAACCCCATGTCTAAGCCGTTGGCCCTGCTTTCAAGGCTCGTGATGACTTGTTCATAGCTGTTGGGTAAGCTGTATATCAAGGTCGTCATGATATCGTCTTTGGGTACTGGTGCGCCGATAGCCTCCAGCTGTTGGGCGAGCTGTCTGACTTTGTTGATGTGGTCTGTGATCGAGTCAGACTCATTCATAGTGATGGTAAGGAGCTTTCGACGTAGGAAGAGCTTGCTGGCGAGCCCCTTTCGTTTGTGCACCTCAGCTAGCTTAGACCAGGCTTCCCAAGCTGTCTGAGCTGTATGCACATGCATAAGCTGCGTGTCGTTCAGACTGAGGCAGATGTATGCCAGAACCCTCTCGTCCTGACTCCTCGTCCTCCCCTTCAGCCCCCTTTCCCTGCGACGAGCTTGCTGTAGCCGTAGCTCCTTCCTTCTCCCTCTTCCCAGCTTCCACTGCTACCCAAAGTCCCTTCGCCTTCAACATCATCATCATCCGAAACTTCCATAGATGGTAGTTCTCCCCTGTGAACTTATCCACCATAAGTTTCGAAGTCTCTGAGTCTCCAGCCATTGTGTGTTCGAGCTAAAGTCGTCTGTTTCGGGTGTGTGGACGCGTTTTTGGATGTCAAGTAGTGCGTATCTTGTCGAGTTGAGCACTTTGGCGCGTTTTTCGGTCGGACGCTCGTGATTTTGGAGGGATGTGTCAAGAGTAGGGCGTAGGTAGCGTCCGTAGGGGGTTGGGAACGTCTCGAATGGGATTGGCGAAGACGGTTTTAGTGATGATAAAGCTCAGGGCTCATAACCTGTTGAAACCTTAGCTGATATAGGTGTATCTGAGAGGTCACTAAGACTGGTTCTCCGATGACTGAGGGACGTGGCTGCCCAAAGGGCAGTGTTGTGATGTGGAAGACAGTAGGGTGGCGAGAGTAGTGCGATAGGAAGTAGTGTACTGAAGAGGATAACGTGAAGAGGGGGGATGGGCAACAGGTCTGCCTTTTATACAAATCTGGGGCTTCTTTCTTGGGGATTCAGCTATGTGCTGGGGCGTCCAAAACACCCTCTGAGACCCCCTCAGAACGCCCAAGGCGTCTCTGAGTGCCGCAGTTAAGGTTGGTAAGGTTTCGCCAAGTCTTCGTAGCCTGCTGATGCCCCATGGAATTCTGCCAAGGCTACAGGCTTCCACAAGGTGAATAAAACCCAATCTAGCTACTACAACCCGATCACAGCTCCATACGGGCACTACTGACCGCTATGAGCTCCAAGAACATCATGGAATGGCAGTGCTGGCGCCTAGATGTCTGGGAAACGGTCCAGACATCTTCAGAGTCTCCCAAGATGCGTCCTAAGTCTTGCAGAGCCTGGAAGTACAGCATACTCGCTGGAAGTACAGCAACGTCCGTATCGTACCGCTTGTTGTTAAGAAAATCCATAGTCCCACGCGGATTCCTCCGGCGTCCATCCTACCATCCATCCATCCATCCATCTATCTATCCATCCACCGGCCTTCCAAGGTTTACACAAGATCTTTCTCAGCTGGCCCGCTCGTACACGCTTCCACGATGTCCGCTTTTCCTTCTTCGTTCGGTGACAACGGTGGCGCTTGGCGCGAGCCCCTTCAGGTCATTAGTGATTTGCATGACCCCCGCAAGGATCCCACGGCTCATAGCGAGTCCGACAGCGAACATTCCGCATGCGCTTGTGGTTCCGACGCTTCCCGCGCTCGTATCTATGTTTATCTTGCCGCTGGCGGCATCGATTACAACGGCTTTGGTGTTGCGCTGTATGGACCTTTCACGCACTTGGATGCGGAAATCGCGTTCGGCTTCTTGCGCTTCTGTATTGAGATGGGGCTGAACTTTGATACCGTTTGCAAAGGTTTGGCCGGAAACACTCTCGAACGCACGACCGCCACCGCTTTGCGTTTGCGCTACGCTATCGACGCCAACCCCTCTCGGTTTGCTTTGCGCGAACTCGGTGATATCACCCGCGTTGCGATCCAATCGCGTTCTGCGCGCAATCGATACCATGCCAGACCCAATCGTCAGCGTACTACGGGTCGTCTCCCGCCGGTTCATGCTGGTGCTTCTCGTCCTGGTGCTGATGCCGATTTACGTCCTCAGAGTACTCCTATCAACCCGTCACCGCAGGAGATGATTGTTATGATCTCGACGACGGGGGCGGAAGCGAAGTAGAGAAGACAGGGTGAGTGTGATAGGCGACAAGAGATTGTATTGGCGAAACAAGAACCAAGGACTAGAACAGGAGATGAGAAGAACTGGTGTTGATCTGCTGGGGAGGAAAGGAATGGACGAAGAGAGGCCGGCTATTTATAGATAGGCAACCCAGCAGATCAGAGAACAACAACAACCAGAGGGGACTGGGGGGGCGCCAGCTTTGCTCCGAGAGCGTGCGTGGCGAGCGTAGAGAGCATTGCTACAGCTGCTGGCTATGGAGAAGTAGTGGGGGATGTGGAGAAGCCGAGGGGGGATTGGCGAAATGAGAGGAGAGAGGAGGAGCGGCGATATTGCGGGAGGATTGGCAAAATGAGAGGAGAGAGGGGGAGTGGCGATATTGCAAGAGGATTGGCGAAATGAGAGGAGAGAGGGGGAGTGGCGATATTGCAAGAGGATTGGCGAAATGAGAGGAGAGAGGGGGAGTGGCATTGACATTGACATTGACACTGACGTTGACATTGACATTGGCGTTGACACTGACATTGACACTGACATTGACATTGACATTGTGCGTTTGACATTTGGCGGTTGACATTGGCGGCTGTCAGTAGGTAAGCTTATGGTATGGGCGCGTCGTCCATAACATCACCCCTCTTTTTAGCGGCGGTGGCGGCGGCGTCGGGTTTGGTGTGGCCGCAGAGGAGGTGCTACGGGGACAGAGGAAGGCTTGTTGGGGTACGCGCTGTAGAAGTCCTGGAGGAGTGCGTCTGTATGGGTGAGGTGTTCCACGGGCTCCCAGGTGTTCTCGGAGTCAGGCCAGCCCTGCCATTTGACCAAGTACTGAAGGCGACGACAATGGATGCGAGAGTCAAGGATGGCTTCGACAGCCCACTCTTCTTAACCCTCAACGGTCTCTGGGGGCGCGGGTTCGGGTTCGTGTCCTTCGGGGATGGTGAAGCGGGGTTCGAGGAGCGAGCGTGGAAGACATCGTGGATTTTGTACGTAGGCGGGAGCTTGAGCCGGTAGGCGACGGGATTGATTTTTTCAATGATGGGGAATGGCCCAATCTTGCGATGGTCGAGTCCCTGAGAGGGCCGGGTTGTCTGGAGGTTTTTGCGGAGGAGCCAGACGTGGTCGCCAGGCTTGAAGTCTGGTCCAGGAATTCGCTTAGCGTCGGCATAGCGCTTCATTCGGTCTTGGACTTCCTTGAGCTTGAGGGCGAGCTGTTTATGGACTTCCCTGATTTGTTTAGCGCGGGCTTCAGCGGCGGGGTTGACGGATTCGGAGGTAGCAGAGGCCGCGAAACTGAAGCGGGGGTGGAGACCCTTGTTGGCGTAGAAGGGGGTGGTCTGGGAGGCGGACTGGTGGGTGTTGTTGTAGGCGAACTCGGCGGACGACAGAAGCTGTTTCCAGTTGTCCTGTTGGTGGTTGCAAAAGCATCGGAGATACTGTTCCAGGATCTGGTTGGTGCGTTCCGTCTGGCCATCGCTCTGGGGGTGGAAGGCCGAGGAGAGGTTGGCTTTTGCCCCAAGGAGTTCGAGAAGTCGACGCCAGAACCGGGACTTAAACTGGGGTCCTCGGTCAGAGATGACGTCGTCGGGGAGGCCGTGGAGACGGATGATGTTGTGGAAGACTAGGTCGGCGGTGGATTCGGCGGATTCTGACTTGCTGCAGGCGATGAAGTGGGCCATCTTGGTGAGGCGACAGTTGACGTTCAGGATGGAGTCGTACCCGTCCACGGGAGGCAGACCGGTGATAAAGTCCAGGGACCAAGATCCTCAAGGGCGGGTAGGGATACTGTTGGGTTGGAGTAGGCCGTAAGGTTTGTGTTGACTCGATTTCGCTTGGCGGGTGTCCAGACGTACGGGATGTCTTTCCGGGTCAGGGCTGTGAGCGGGGTAGCGATCTTGGAATAACCTTGGATGAATCGGCGATAGAAGTTGGCAAAGGTGAGGAACCGCTGGACGCCTTTGACCGTCTTGGGAGGTTCCCAATCCGTGATGGCAGCGATCTTCTTGGGGTCCATCTGGATGCCTTTCTCAGAGATGATGAAGCCTAGGAACTCAACGGATTCGCGGTTGAATTCGCACTTCTCTGGTTTGGCGTACAACCCATGCTGTCGGAGGCGGGACAAGACTTCGCGGACATGTTTGGGGTGATCTTCGGGGTTCTTGGAGAATATCAGGATATCGTCAAGGTAGACGACAACAAACACATCGAGAATGTCGCAGAAGATGTCGTTCATCAGGTACTGGAAGACGCCAGGAGCATTGCTGAGTCCAAAGGGCATGACATTGTATTCGAATAGACCGTAGCGGCAGCGGAAGGCGGTCTTCCATTCATCGCCCGGGCGCATGCGTAAGAGGTTATAAGCGCCGCGGAGGTCGATCTTGGTGAGACGGCGGGCGCCGCGCAAACGATCCATGATACCGTTGATCAGGGGCAGGGGGGTAGCGATTCTTCACCGTGATGCTGTTCAGGCCTCGATAATCGACGCAGAGGCGGAGAGAACCGTCCTTTTTCTTCACGAATAAGACTGGCGCACCGGCAGGGGACTTTGAGGGTTTGATGAATCCTTTGGCGAGGTTTTCTTCGAGGTATTCACAGAGTGCTTTCATTTCTGGTTCGCTGAGGCTGTAGATCAGGCCGAAAGGTGGCTGTTTGCCTTCCTCCAGATGGATAGGACAGTCATAGGGCCGGTGATCGGGGAGAGTGTCAGCATTTTTCTTTTCGAAAACGTCAGCGAAGTCTTGATACTCGGGGGGCAGGAAGTCTTTGATGTCTTTCTCGGGTGTCGGGGGGTTACTGGGGCTAGGCGAGGCCGGGAGATCGGGTTTCGCAGGGTTTGCGTAGGCGACAAAGACCTGGTCATGCCTTGCTGCGACCCGGAAGGCTGGGGCGGAGACGAACGAGACTCGGAGCGGCGTGGGAGCCGGTTCTGGGGTGCTGGAGCGAGATACCTTGGGTACTGGAATCGACCATGTTTTGTCGACGGGGACTTCATCCTGGGGGATGCGGATCAAGGGCTCGGGGGTTCTGGCGGGTGCTGGGCTCGGGGGTGCTGGAGAGTTGTCCCAATTCGGAATTCATGGTACTGACAGTCGCAACGGAAACCGACCGAAAGGTTCTTGAAGTCAAGGTTAATGTCGTGGAGGCGGAGCCAGGGGAGACCAAGGAGGATTGGAGCATGGGGTGATTTGGTGACATGGAAGACGAGTTCTTCGAAGTGGTTGTCGACCCACATGCCTACTGGTTGGGTGTGATGGGTGATTGGCCCAGCAGAGCTGGGTTGACCGTCAACAAGTTCGATCGTCAGTGGACGCTGATGCGGGACTAGGGCGATGCGGTGTTTGCGGGCAAAGTCTCTGTCGATGAAACAGGACAGGGCACCGTTGTCGATCATGGCTGAGGTGGGTATCAGGGCGCGGCTGTATGATACCATGATGGTAACGGGGTAGTTGAAGGGTTCGAAGGGACCCAGCGCAACCATGGCGCGTGGGTTAATTTCGGAGTTTTCGACATGGGTGGCGGCTAGGAGGATTTTGTCGGCTATAACGGAGTCGGGAACCAGGAGGGTGGCCTCTTCCGTTGCAGGAGCTGCGAGGTTCGGAGGCACAGAGGAGTGTGTGTAGTCCAGTCGCTGGGGCTTTACTGCGGCTGGACAAAACTATCGAAGTTCTGAAGGCTGTGATCTTGGCGTTAGACTAGGGGCGCCATCCAGGCTTGCGCAGTGCCGGTGAGGTAGGTGCCAATCGTTTGGATCTTGATGATGTCGCTGGGGTAGCGGTCCGGCTGGGGAGCAAACATCAACCGGATGTTGTTCAACCACCCACGGAATTTGCTGCGGGTACCATCAAACTTCTCAGGCGAGCTGCTTCTCGGGTCCAGAGCTCCGGGAGCAGGGTTGGTCACTTGAGGACGGGTGTACGCATCGGCTTGGACCTGGGCAGCAATGTTCTGGGCGGCTTGTGCGTCGGCTTGGGCTTGTGCTAGGTTGGCCTGCAAGTTGGCGTTTTGGCTTTGCAAGGCGGCGATGGCTTGGCACATATCATTCCATTGCTCGGCGGTGAAAGGTACGGATTCGGATTGGGACATGGCAAAAAGGTGTGGCAGATGCAGGGCTGGACGGGTTCTGAACTTCGCAGTGTTGGAGCAGATCAAACTGTTATGAGCTCGACGACTGAGGCGGAAGCGAAGTAGAGGAGACAAGGCGGGAGCGTTACGCGACAAGAGATTGTATTGGCGAAACAAGAGACAAGGACTAGAACAAGAGATGAGAAGAACTGGTGTTGATCTGCTGGGGAGGAAGGGAATGGACGAAGAGAGGCCGGCAGATAGGCAACCCAGCAGATCAGAGGACAACAACAACCAGAGGGGACTGGGGGGAGGGGGCGCCAGCTATGCTCCCTAGCCTAGAGCGAGCGTAGCAGGCGTAGTGAGCAAGCTACAGCTGCTGGTTGTGGAGAAATACTGGTGAGGTTGACAAACGGCCGGAGATTGGCTCACAGTTGAGCAGGGTAAAAGAGGAGCGGCGAATGGAGGGTTGGCGAAATGAGAGGGGAGAGGAGGAGTGGCGATATTGCGGGAGGATTGGCGAAATGAGAGGAGAGAGGAGGAGTGGCGATATTGCGGGAGGATTAGCGAAATGAGAGGAGAGAGGGGGAGTAGCATTGACATTGACATTGACACTGACATTGACACTGACATTGACATTGACATTGGCGTTTGACATTGGCGGTTGACATTGGCAGCTGCCAGTAGGTAAGCTTATGGTATGGGCGCGTCATCCATAACAGTATTCAGAATAGGTTCGTCGTCGATTGGGCTGAAACAGTCCCTCATAATCGACGCCGTGATCACTGTTCGAATCTGAAACAAGACTTTCTTCGGTGTCGGATTCTTCGGATAGCATTGGCATGTCGTCCATAATTGACTGCTGTCGGTAGGTAAACGCTTGTACGTGGTACTCGATTGATTGTTTGTAAGCTTCTTCAACGTTGTGTTCTGAATCTCGTTCG